GGTAAACACCCGACCGGACGTTGCGTTTGCTACCGGGCAGCTGGCTAGGGTTGTGCAATGCCCTAATGAGGAGCAGGTAGCAGCTGGAATGAGGGCGGCCAAGTATCTTGGCCAAACACCGACCGTTGGGCTGCAATACTCGGCGGCGGCACAAAGGCGCCAAAAGGGCGCGGATGGTGTTGAACGCGGGCGTTTGTTCCTCACCGCCTACTCGGATGCGTCATATGCATCGGAACCAGAGGACATGACAAGTGTGGGAGGCTTCATATGCTGTGTTGGTGGAGGCCCAAATGCTTGGGAGAGCAAGAAGCAGGTTGACCAAGCTTTGAGCTCGGTGGAGTCCGAGTACACGGCACTCTTCCGTGCCGTACGGGAGATTGTGTGGCAGCGGCGTTTGTTGGCTGAATTGGGGGAGGAGCAGCAAGGACCTACCCCACTCTACCGTGACAGCCAGGGTGCCATTGCTCTTGCTAAGAACCCTGTGTTGCATGGACTCACAAAGCACATGAGGGTGAAGTGGCATTGGACGAGGAGCATGGTGACCGCGGGTGAAGTTGAGTTGCGGTATGTGAAGACCACGGGGCAGCCGGCTGACATGATGACTAAGAGGCTGGTGGAGCAGCAGCATTGGAAGTGTTGCAAGCTGGCTGAGATGGCTCTGAACTGAGAGAGCAACATATCCTAAGGCCAACAATCCGAGGGGGAGTTTGTTGGTGCAACCCTACGGTTTGCACTCGGCTTGTTGTCCGCGTGCGTGCATGTGTGTGTGTATGGAATGGTATGAGGGCATGGGATAATATATATTTCATGCTTATAATTGTGTGTGAATGTTGAGTCATGATGTCGAGTGTGTGTGTCGAGTCAATAGCGAGTTATCGCTAGACGCGTGTTACGCGGTCGTTTGTGTCTTGCGCGCGGTTTCTATTTTTGTCGTGCGCGGTTTCTATTTTGTCGCTTGTCGAACGTTCGGCGCGTCGCAGGTGTGTGTAGAAGACCCATCAAGAACTCAAGGATGAGTTTGTGATGAAGAGCCCGAGCCTTGGTGTCAAGCCTCAAGTGATTTCGAAGCTCGCCAAAAGGGTACACCTCAAGATATTGAAGATAGTTACATTACTTTGTGTAGTGTAACATTTCACTTGGTGTAGGCCCTAGTGAAGGGTAGTTTCGAGACCCTTCGTGGTTGGGGACAGTGTGGCACTGTTCCACATCACTATACCTCGGCTATTGCGGTTTGTAGGAGCTGGGAGTCATTCCCAACTCGTAACTCTTCATATCTCTTCCTATTTTGTGTTCTAAGAATTTAGTGGCTGCCATAGTGCCGTTCGTTCAAACCAACACTGTGTCGTCAATAATTGGTGCAATTGTGCGATCTAAATTGCCTATTGTAGGGGACGTTCAGACGCTCCAGATCCAAGTTGAATCAGGTCATTTGAAGTTGTGACCAGAACGCTATAAACGTTTGAAGCCGCTGTGCAGAAATCCGGCTGTGCACTCTATCTTCCGTTTTAGGCACATTGGAGCCTATTGTGACTATAACAGCTTTGAGCGACGGTGGCGTACGTCGGGTTCGGTTGAAGTGACTCGCGGCGAGGCGTGCTGTTGTCGATTTGTTCTTCTGGTGAGTAATATGGCGGTGACTCAGTTACGCAGGAGTCACTCAGCCTTGCCATGCAGCTGACGATGTTTCTTGTTCCTTTCGCAAGTTATCCCGTCGATGTTGTTGAGACTTGTACTGAAGTTGTCAGATTTGCTTGCATTGAGGCGACTTGACTGCTTGAAGGGCGAATTTGGCGTTGCGGCGACGTTGACTGTTGTCGATTCGGGCAGTGCGTACTAGGATGCCCTAAAGTCTTGCAGAGGTGGCAGAACGGAGGTACGATTTTCGGTCGATTGTTGTTGTTGTTGTGGCGCCGTTGAGTGTGAAACGCGAATTCGGGCACTGATACCTTTTGCTTGTGTCGTTCTTCTTGCAGGTCCATGTCTTGCTGCTCCGCGTGGATTTCGGCGCAAAGTGCTGCTTCATAAATTTTCCCGTGGGCTCGTAGTGTGGCGCGAGTGGAGCGCCAGTGAGGACCAAGACCGCCGATGAGAACCGTGACGAAGGCGTCCTCTGAAATCGATCCTCCGCATCGAAGAAGCTTGTCACCCAGCTCGCGGCAGCGACTGATATACGCCATTCCCTTCTCGCCTGGTTTCATTTCGATTGTTGTCAGCTGCGCCATTAACCGACTTTGGTTTATGCTGTCTGTTGCTTAATACAGGCTCTTCAAGTGATTGTACGCAAGCTCCGCGGAGTTGCCGTAGCCTCGGGAAGACCGTATGTTTTGTTGTTGAGTTGGAGTGATGTTCCTCAGTAGTATCGTGTATGCCATCATTGATTGATAAGTGTACTGCTGCTTCTCATACTGTGTGCCGTTTGTTGGGTATGGCAGGTGTGAAGATTTTAGTAGCAAGGCTTAGAAGCCATAGCAAGTGAGGTAGTAGAGGTTGAGTTCGAGTGAGTTGAGTAGGAAGAAAAGAGTCGAGAGAATGAAGAGGTTTCACTATGGAATGTTGTACAAAATATAGTGAAGGAAAAGGGTGCACCACCTAACATGAAAGCGATATAACTACACTAGGTTTACACTACAGGCAGTTATAGTAATGCATACAATTACATTTTGACAGCAGGGACCCGTCGAAGAAGCCAAGGATTTGCGCTCCTTCCATCATCAGCTCGAATTCGAACGACCAGGTAAAGAAATCCTTCCCGTCGAAGGGTTTTGTCGTTTGCAGTTTTAGAACGTGCGCGAACTGCGACTGAACTTGTAGTGCGTCCAGCGTTCTCTCTTGTCCCGGTGCAGGTTGTGGTTGTGGCATGAAGCTGACGGAACCGCGCTGGGGCTCGTACGGAGCAAAGGCAGGTTGCTGTTGTTGATTCCCGCGTGCGTAGGATGAGCCATCGAGACTCATGGGCGTCACGTTGTTGTTGTTGTTGCTGTTGTTTGATTGCGCAGGTGCTCCTTGCTGATGCTGCTCGTAGAAGGACATGAAGGAGAAGAACTTCTCCATCATGCTTGGATCGAAGCCCACGCCTTGGTTTGCGGGTGTTTCAGTAGACCCAGCTGCCGGTCTCGTTGTTGTGCCTTCCTCTGTCTGTAGGCCAGAGGCAGGAGGTGGAGTAGGAGTAGTACTAGGAGAGCCGTTGGAGGAGCTCCTCTCCTTTCTGGTAGACATGTCTCTTGGTGTATTAGGTGTTAAGGAGAAATAATTTTAACCCTAACCAGCTCTCATACAATGCTGGGCTGAGTGCCCCTTAGGATCTTTGGTAGGGTTAAACTCTGGGTAGAGTGGTGTAGTAGCGGAAGCGTTTAAATGAAGTCCTTGAACCACCTTGCGTTGGTATGTGAGGGCAAAGTAAGTTGATTAAAACAAGCAAGTACAAAGGTTTATATAAGAGTACAAAGAATACGAAGAGATATAATTAAACTGCTTTACTGTTGCGGTTCAATACAGTGCGACTCGGGCAACTGCTCAATGTTGAGTTAGTTGTGTGTCCTTGCTGTCGCGCTACATTTGTCAAGTCAAAGATCGCTGACCTTTGACCTTCGCGTAACCTCCAGCGGTTACCTCAACCTCCGAGGGTTGACTCGCTGGTGCCTCGATATGCTCTGCTTTGCTTGTGTCTTGGTGTTTCAACACGACAGAGGCGCTTAAGATTGTTTGTTCCCAACAAAATGGACATCAACACAAAAATTAAAACGACATACTACTAGGTCAAAACGGGCTTGAACCCGGCATAAATCAATGAGAATAGGTGCAGCTTATCAACGACCTAAAATACTACCATTAGATGCGCTGAAATTAATGATTAAAATTATACTGCTTCTTACCGTCAGCTAACGAAGTTCTAAGATACGCTAAACTATATGACTAGAATATGAGCCAGCATGGTAAGGTCTAGGTGGGAGCTTGATTTTCTTACCTGTTGAGTGGTAGGAGGAGCATGAGTGGCGGGAGGAAACAAAACTAGGCATCTCTCACGATTGGAAAGCGGGAGAAAGAGGAAACCAAAACGAAACCCTAAGGCAGTTCACGTGCAACATTAAATAACAAAAAAACTCAACGCGACTTCTAACTCAAGTCTCGTAGCATAGCGGTTTCCAAAATTCGCCAGTCCATATGTGCTGGGTTCGATACCTGAAGCAAAGGTTTTGCAGTTTCTACTAAACAAACATTCTATATCAGATAAGATAAAAACACTCCTAGGCATTCAAGGTTGAAGATAAGATGTATATAAAAACCAGATATGTGAAAAACAGCTTCGCAACCGAAAGCCTCATCGGAATTCGGTCGACGGAATGGTTTTACCAGTGTCGTCGAGGGGGGTCGTCGGAGCCGAGAATGACGAGGCGGGCGACTGACGCGCGTGCGGGCCTGCCAGCCTGGCCCAGGGCTGGGCCGAGCGCACGAACGCCGCCCCGCAGCCCCGGTCCTAGTAACACATCGCGGCCTGACCGGACGGGCAGGCGAGGGCCGGGCAAAAAATCGGGGCCCCCTCGGGACACTCGACAATTTCATGACCCGTTGCGGTCGCGCCACGTGTTCGCCCGTGGCTTCGCAGCGCACGCATGCGAAATTTCGGACGATGCGAAATTAAAACATCTCACGTCTACCACCGCGATCCGCTACGAAAATCGACACGTGTCGGCCCTAGAGACGCTCCGCGCGCAGGCGAGTTGTGCGTCCCCTCGCCGACCTGGGCCAATGGACGCGAGGTCGTCGCTCTGCCAGGGCGGAGACGGACCACCTGTGCCACTAGCCAGGCCCCACACCCTTGGGCGATGCTGAACGGCCCCACCCCCTTTTCATTGCGGAAGGTGGCTTCGCTCCTCATTTTCTCCTTTTCTCATTTTCCCAGACAGCTCTGCGCCTCCCCCTAGATCCGTGCTATCGTACCTTAGTCGATATGGAGCCGATCCCCGACGCTGACTTGGGCTGACTTTCCCCTTAGACACCGAATGGGTCGCGGTCTCAGCTTCACCTTCGAGTGGGACGACTTCGCCGCCCTTCGCGACCATGAGAAAGAGTTCACCGACAGATGCTTGGGATTCGCCATCAGGTGGGACTCGAGAAGTCGCGGTTTAGGGCGTATATCGGCGCCGGCTTCCTCTAGATGGGCGCATAAAGTATATGTCGGCGCCGTTGGGGGCGGATTGTCGCAGATTGTCGCGACCCCGTCCATGGACGCCGGTCGGCATAGCAAGCGTCGATCTGGTAGCGTTTGCTTACCCGCCATCCCATCATCCCTCATGCCCACTCGTGCGCCCAGGTACGCTTGGTTTCGCAATGAACTGAACGACCAGCGGTTGCGGGTAATCGGAGTCGGCCCGCTTTGATTGGCCATGAAGGCCGTCAACCATTCTTGCTTTGCTACGGTTTTCGACGCCGACATCGCCGCCATCTCGTTAAGCACGACATGAGCTGTTTCCCCGTTGTCCAGTTATCGTTTTGTTTAGTCGGTCGCATCATCGCCTAATGTTGTGGTCGACGCCGTCAAGCATAGCATGTGCAGCGGCGGTCCGCTTCCAGGGTCACACTGCACCGTCATAGCCATCCTCTACCCAGTAGGAAGTGGGACGGGGCACCGCCATCACAAGCAGTGGTGGAGGACAGGCTTGCCGACTGCGACCACCCTATCCGCGACGTGAGTTGCACATTGCACATTTATCCATTAAGGAGGGTGCACGTTTCTGTATGCTCCGCTCACAATGTTCTGCGCTTGCCAGTGTTGTATGCAGAAAGTGCCAGACACAGTGTCCGACGAGAAGGTCGGCACCGGCATGCTTGCCGCGATGTCGTTCGGGTGGGTGGCCAAGCAGGTTGACCTGCTGACGGGCGAGAAGGGTCGTGGTGCGGTGAGACTCGAGAACATCAAGACAAAGGGGCTAAATTCGTTGCGAGACAGCATGGTGGAGTACATCTGCAAGCGCATCGCCGAAAAACGCTCTGCGGCGCCGACATCACAACCCGCCGACAGTGTGATTGATGACGACGCCGCGGAAAGACAGACAGCGCCCCAAGCAGCAGTTGCCACCCAGCATCAGGGGAACGCGAAGGTGTCCGCGGAAGGAGGAAACGGTGGTGGAGGAGGCAACGCTGCGACAGGTGGAGGAAGGAAGGAAGAGGAGGAGTCGGAGGAGGATTCGGAGTCAGAGTCGGAGTCTGAGGAGGAGGCGGAGAAGCGGAAGGAGGAGGAGGAGGAGGAGGAGGAGGAGGAGGAGGAGGAGGAGGAGGAGGAGGAGGAGGAGGAGGAGGAGGAGGAGGAGGAGGAGGAGGAGGAGGAGGAGAAGGACGAGAAGGATGACGGAAATGAGGAGGAGGAAGGGAAGGATGAGGAGGGAGAAGGGAAGGATGGGGAGGGGGAAGGGAAGGATGAGGAGGGGGAAGGGAAGGATGGGGAGGGGGAAGGGAAGGATGAGGAGGGGGAAGGGAAGGATGGGGAGGGGGACGGGAAGGATGAGGAGGGGGTGGAGGAAGTGGTGGAGTACGAGGTGGAGTTCGAAGAGGAGGAAGCTGCACTAGAGGCGGTGGGGTCGGTGGATGAAAAGAACGAGGAAGCGGAGGATGGCGATTCGGGTAATAATACGAGGTCGGCAGATGGGGGGAAGGAGAAGGATGAGGTCGGCGTGGAGGCAATGACGGAAAAGGGCCAGGAGGAGGCGGCATGCGAAGGTGGGAAGGTGTCGGTCGACGCCGGCGAAGCGGCGAACACCACGAGCGTGCAGGAGACGGGGGAAGCTTCTGGTCAGCAGGGTAATGAGCTGGACGACGTCGAGCAGGTGCGACGGGAGAACTGGCTGTTGAGGGCGGAAAACGCTGAGCTGGCGACGTTGCTCGATGCAGAGCAGGCTCGGCTGGACAGGTTTTTTGTTGGGATACGTGGACTCGTCGACCACGTGAAGGAGTTGGCTGAGCACGTCAACGACACCGAGAAGTATGCGGCGGAACAGTTGCGAAACGCGACGGCGGCCATGTCGAAGACAATCACGGGCAACATCACCGGCAGCTTCGACGAAGCGTGGAAGACGATGAAGACCTTCGCGGAACAGGCGACGGCGTGGTTGGAGGACTTCGACAACCCGCAGGGTCGTGTGGCAGTTGCACGCGCGGTAGCGGTCGACGCGTTGGCCGAGCATGTGACTGGGTTGGTGGGCGAAGCGCAGCGGGGTTTGGAGCTGTACGTCACGACGCAACTATCCGCCGCGCAGGTCAACATCGCCACCGCTGTGACCACCAGGCTCCCCGTGCAGCCGCCGCCACCGCCTCCGCCCACGCCGCCCGCCCTCCCAGAAGAGCTCTTGAAGTCGTTCAAGGCCGACATTATGAAGGCGGTGACGGAGGCCACCCAGCAGTCTTTCGTCGCTTCCAAAATGAAGATGATGGCCGAGATGGTCGGCACTGTGTCGCCTGGTCGACATGGGTCGTCGCCGTCGGCCAATGACACCGATCACGCGCAACGGAAGACGGCCGAGAAGCAGGGCCTGAAGAGAACGAGCGACGGAGACAACAAGGAGAGCGCGAAGGGCGACGCGAAGCGGAGCAAGGGATCGGACGGGAGTGTCAGAGGTCCACTGGTGATCCCCGATCGATCCTAGGGAAGGGTTACAGGCACGTTTGCCTGGGGGGTTATGGGCGCACTGACCCGCTACTCAAACAAGCCCTTTTATCCCAATGGTCTAGTGGTTGGGATTCTGAGATGGTATCAGAGCGAAGGTCTCGGGTTCGAATCCCGGTGTATGCACTTCGGGCATCCCAGTGCGGGGGGGTGTCAGAGGTCCACTGGTGATCCCCGATCGATCCTAGGGAAGGGTTACAGGCACGTTTTCCTGGGGGGTTATGGGCGCACTGACCCGCTACTCAAACAAGCCCTTTTATCCCAATGGTCTAGTGGTTGGGATTCTGAGAGGGAGCCGCGGCTCGAAGCCTGCGCCATAGAGCGTGGTCGACCAGTTGAAGACGAAGGCGGGGTGGAGGGTGATAAGGACGTCGAACACCAAGGGTGTCGGAAGCGGGATGGCAGAGGGTGGCCCTGCCAACAGGGCTGCCGCTAACGTCACCGCTCAGCCAGGCCCGCCTTTGGTCACCGAGAAGACCCATCCTCAGCCGGGGTTATCTCGGCGGTGAGAGACGCGATGGTGTCGTCGCGCTTCTCGAGCTCCTCCAGGAAGTCAATCCTCTCGTTCGCGGCACGCTCCATCTCCTTCGCCAGCGTCGCCTTGAGGGATACGTTGTAGTACTCGGTGTCCATGCGGACAGAGATTTCCTGCAGCGGTAAGACAAAGACGTTAGCCGCGAGGTGGTTTGGAATGCCCTACATCCAGCTCGTCGTCGACTTACCTCTGCCTGAATTTGGGTCGGGTCCCGACGCTTGTTGATCGTCTCGGTGTCGACCCTCTTGACCCGTTTCGCCCAGTGCTAAAAGAGGGGGATCTGGCAGAGCATGGAGCCTTGGACGTACGGGTGCCATGGTGTGCGGACCAGCTTCACCGCTAGGTCCTCGGCGTTGATGCGGCGCAACATCGCGAGTGTGCGCCAAAAGTGCACCGCGGCTTTGTCGGCGTCGGACCCCTCGGCAGCCTTCCCTTCCGCCTGCAATTCGTCACGTGTATTAGATGTTCAGACACTGTCGGCAACACGACTCGGAAACAAGGATACGAGGGCGTCGACTAACATACCGTCTTCAGCATGTCGTCGACGCCGGGGAAGATGTGCTCGGCGAGGAGCTTCAAGAGCTTATCGGAGGGCTCCACCCTGCTCCGGCCCAAGAAGTAGTCCTGCTTGTAACCAGAGTAACCGGCCTTCTTCATCACCACCCCCACCGGAATGGCGGTGATGTACGCTCGCGTCATCTTGTTGAGCGCCCAGTGACCCAGCTCCGCGATCTCGGCGCGCGGCGTGCCGTCGATGGCCAGCTCCTGGGCCCCTCCGGCTCGAGCGGCGTGCACGTTCCTCTTGCAGAAGACCCCATTTTTGTCCCACAACTGCCGCGTCCAGCGTTGGTGGCTTGCCGCAGAGAGCTCCCCTTGGTCGGTGTCGTTTTTGGCGAAGAAGAGGTGCTTCTTGTACCAGCTCGCGCGTGTGCTGGTGTCCACCGGCGGAATGAGGCGGACGCACAACTCCGCTTCGAGGTGCCGCGCATAGCTCTGCTGCAAACGCGCATCCTTGGACGTCTTCGAGTTCCGCGCAGCGATGACCATGACGACCGGCTGGTTCTCCGGGTTCACCGACGAGGTGCTCGCCAGTCGGTACAAGAATATGTCGGGGAGCGTGATCTCGCGGATGCTTGCACCGCGCAGGAGAGAATGGTGGGAGAGTAGCATGAGCACCTTCAACAGCAGAAACCGCCACATTGTCTGCGACGGGCCCGTACCCCGCGGGTTCCAAGCCTTAGCCGCCCACGTCGGCAGCACCCTGAACATGATCTGGCGAAACTGTTCTGCGGTGTAGGTATCGCCAATGGCTCCGCGACGCCGATCGGTGCAGTTCCTGCCGACAATGCCGAGGGTAAGGGGCATTTAGGGAGACGTCGACACAGTACATGACAACAAGAGAGTGGTCGACAGAGGTTAAACAAAAACTCACTTGAGGTCCCGCTCGTTCTTGGTGTGGATCATGAACCGCACCTCCGACCTGACCACCGAAATCTCACGCATGATGCTCAGCTCCGTCTCCCGGTATATCCTCGCCTCCACTCTCGCCGCCATCTGGCATGCCTTTATGCGCCCAAGGAGCGTGTGCACCGTTGTAGATTGCACAGGCTGTGTTCCTGTGGCGTTGTCGCCCTCTTTGCTGGACTCGGCATCGAGCTTCATCTCCCGAACCATGTACTTCACGTATGCGCGAAGCTGGGACGTGGTGACCCTAGGGCCGTGCAGCCACACGTGCGACCGGGGGACATCGGCCTCTTGGTCCCAGTTCTTCTTCTTGTTGTCCCGGATGTAGTGCCCTATCTCGTCGACGCGCTTAAGCCTGTACTCCTGCGGAAGCTTGTTGCGAATTTGCATCAACATCTTTGCCGCCCACCTCTTGTTGTGATAGATCCACGAGGTGTACTGCCTCAGCGTGCTGTTCCTCTCCACGGTCTGCAGGTGGCGTAGGGCGTCCAAGACAAGCACGTTGATGGTCGCCTACACCATGTCTTCCTCGACGAAGTCTGCCGCCCTCCACTGTTCGCGCGGCACCGACAATTTCTCCTGGTCGGCATCCTCGTCCTGTTCGAGCATATCATCTATGTATTCAAGTTCCCGCCTGAGCCGTTCTTCCAAGGTGCGCTGACTAGTGCTACGCGTTGGACGCTCGTCGTTTTCGTCATCGCTTTCCTCCTCTTCCTCCCCCCCATCCTCCTCTTCGACCTCAACCAGGTTTCCAGAGCTGGCCAGTGCCGACGCAGTTCCTGGCCGTCCATTTCGCTTCGGATTCTGTTTCTTTTTCTTGTTGAACTCCCCGATCGGCGGTGGGGGAATGTCCTTGGTGAACTCCCCTTCTAGAATCTGCGTCAGCTTGTCAAGATCGTAGAGTAAGGGGAGCGTCTCTTCCTCGGTAGATGTCGGACTATGGTCGGTGGATGGTCTAGCATCAGTCATGTCGAAGTCGGCCATGTGGCAGCACGTATGTTGCTCTACCGTCGTCCGTTTGCGATGCGGAGGTCGGTAAACCAGAGATGGTACTGATTCACGGGTGCGGTGTACGACGGAAGAGTAGCACGGCGGTCTTCCTCTAGATAACGTTCAATAACGTCCAACTCGTGTTCGACCTCGTTATTGTTTCGGTCGGTAAACCAGAGACGGTAATGAGTTACGGGTGCGGTGAACGCGCGTAGAGTTGCGCGGCGGCGGTCTTCTTTGAATTCTCGCTCAAGTGCGTCTAACTCGGCTTCAACCTCGAGCCGTTCCAACTGTGCTTTGATGTCGGCGTCTACAGAGTCGGCAGGGGGTGGAATGGGTTGCGGCTGTTGTGCTCTAGGGCGACCTCTGGCCATGCGTCGCCGTCTGACGTCGACATCGACGTCTACTGACCAAGTCGGCAACCGAGTAACCTACTGGCAGCTGAAAATTCTAATTGCACGAGAGAGCAGGAAGGACCGCAGGAACGGACGTGGGAATGAGCAGGCCCGCACGGTCACGGACGGGTATGGTCCTGAGCAACTCGGACGCTGCCGCGATTCACGCACACCCCTATGCTCCTGCCGCCATGCATGTGTTCTCGAATAGGCGGCGCACTGCCCGAAGTGCCACGCGCCAAGCATGGCTATTGTGACTTTGCGCTGCGCCGAAGGGGCGTAAGCCAGGCCCTTTCCACGGTGGAATGGGCGTGTGTTACGTGGCTTGGGGCCGACATTGGCCTCTCAGTACCGAAATTACTGCATGCAGGCTCGAATCTCCCAGGGTTTCGGAATTCTTGAATCCCACCGTGGCAGTCCTACCGTGGGCGCCCAAAGATCGGCGCCGACTTACATTCAGTGCGCTTGGTTGTTTCCTTAGGTTCATTGAACATAGACAGCGTTGGGATTGTGCCGCGTGGCTTGGTTGTGGGCCTCTGGATGTACTGGTCGACACCAACATCGCATGCAACACGCGATGCCACAGAACAGTTACATCCTGGACGGTCCGATTTTTGCCGCGTGGATCGAGCTGGCCCATTTTCAAAGGTGTGAATGTTTTTCTGCTTTGGGAAAATCACCGCTGGGGCGACCGTCGTGGCAGCCTAGTACACGGTGGGGACGGTCCGGCTCCCCCCTATTGGTCCGCGTGGCGGCAGTCGCGGCTCGACGTGGCGAGCTTTCCTATTTTTCCGCTGAGATTTACTTCTCAGGAATCTCCCAGCGCAAACGTATGTCGTCGGATTGTCGACATTCCCGAGGGCTCCCGAGGCCCCTGGGACGCCATTTGGGCCCAGCTTGGAGCTTGGAGGTCGTCGCGAGCTCGTCAATCCTGAGGGGGGCTCTTGTCCCTTCTGAACCGCGAAATTGGGTGGCGTTTTTTGTCGGCTGAGGTATATCATCCCCTAAGACGATTTCGTCGCCTCTTGTTTTTTTTTTGAACCAGTTGATAGTGACTGATTACGTGAAACGTTTTATCAGTCGAGTGAAAACACCCTTTATTAGTGACCATACCCTATATTTTCTTACCATAATGTTATAGAGTCCCATGATGGTTACGAATGGCATATTTTCCCCTACAAAGAAAACATCTGCCTTTTCCTCTGACGATGTCGCGCGATGTCAGAGAGAACGCTCTCCCACGCGCGGGCTCAAAAATTGTTAGCCCGTGAGACACATCACGATCTCGTATACAGTTACCAGAGGTTTTGCCGACGTTTCTCTCTGATATCCTAGCAAACACATATTACCACTCTGAAACAGACCAAAACACGCACCGAACCACCGCGCATCCCATAAATAATTTCATTCTTGACTTTATCCTCGCCCCAACCCATTCTGCTTTCATGATCTGAACTGACAGTCCCATCCCATCCCGTGTCTTTTCCGCTGCACCATTCAGTCAGTCAGCACCAAGTACAGTATGTCCCACCCAATGCTGTTCCATCCCGCCTGTTTGTGAAAATGCAGTCTATTTGTAGATCTAGCGTCTCATAGGAATGCTGCTACTTTAGAGTGTAGGGCAGGACGCCAGAGAGTAGAGTTCTTTTCACTCAATTTTCCTCGGTAACTCCCAGCCAGCTCAGTCTCTGTCGATCCCACCGCCACAACATCAGCATTGGCTGATCTCTTGATCCATGCGCTTGATGCCACGAGCGCCCCGCCAATGTCGGCACCGACTGACATCTTGTGCCTGGACTCCTCTCCGGTCGACCGCCTTTCGGACGACATACTGGGTCGCATCTTCAGCTACGTTGAGCCCGTCGCTTATGGCGAGTCGCCAACACCATGTTCGCAGCAGCAATTGGACCGCCTCCGCCACCCTCCTTCGCAGCCTGCACCGTATCGCTCCCAGCCATCCTCCGTCGGCCAACGACGCGATTCGTCTCATGATCTCACCGGGATCTCTAACTCTGGATCTAATAAGATTGACGGTAGTTACTCCCTCGTCTATCGCCGATGGCACCGTGTTGCCTGTACGACCCGCTCGCACGTCCCACTGTCGCCTGAGCGACGGCTGTGCACCCGGCGATTCTTGAAGGGCGTTGCTTCGTTCCCGTCGCTGACGTCAATATTTCTGCCAGATGGCTGCCTCTCATTGGCCAACGATCACCTCCTCTCTCAATTAGCTGCCACGTGTCCATCGCCTACTCGCTTCCTTCCGGTAACATGGCCGAGCCGGTTACCATTCGCGGCAGGCGCGTCGCGTCCACGTCATCTCGTCCTGACCACCACGCCACCTTCACTGAAGCCGGGCCGGAGTCGCTTTTCTCTTCCTGCCCGGGGCTCGATTCCCTGGAGCTGCACTGCCCACCAAATCTGACCACTCTTCCTCCGTCAATCTGCAGGATGACTCGCTTGAGGGAGTTAAAAATCACCGCTCGGGGCCTGAAACGCCTTCCTGACAGATTCCGTCAACTCTTTGCTCTCGTCAGTCTATCAATCCACTCAGAAGCCTTGGAGAAGCTTCCAGCCGGCTTCGCGACGGATATCGACGAGACTGTAGAAACTTCCATTCGACCGATTGGTTCTAGCATCTCAGATGCGTATGCGAATGCGAACGCAACAGATGGATCAGAGAACGTCACTCGTCAGAATAGTATCATACTGCCTCAGAATGATAACTCTTCGATTGTTGCTTCGCTCGCCCCGCTCGCCTCTCTCTCCCTCTCGAACACCCCCTCTCCTGTGAGAAAAGTGAAACGAGGATGAATGAACTAAGAATGAAGTGGGTACAAGTACTAACCCTAATTGGGTTGTACCCCTTATGGGCTACCCCACTATAGCCTACACAATATGCATAAGCTACAATGTTCTAACACACCCCCATAGGCAAAGTGGGGGAGAACAAGGGGTCACAGGACCAGTCAAGCAAAGCAAAGCAAGCTCAGGGTGGATCACAAAGTCACCACACATTCCGAGCACAAGTTCAAGGCCACAAGGCCAGTTCACATGCAGGAGTACATATATATATAAGGCTAGACAAGCAAGAGCAGGTGTACATATATATGTAACAGTACAAGCAAGGTCAAGAGGTGAGCAAGTGAGGCAAGGTAGGCACAAGGCCCAGCTAAGTACAAAAGCACTGATGGTCACAAGGTCAGGTACATAGCATGCGAGAATGCTAAGAGGGTATGCAAGGTCAGGTCGTGTGCAGTTCATCAGGTACATGAGGCAGCCAACAAGCTCTGGATACGGGCCACTCGACTCTACTGACTCATCCGAAGGCAGAGCTGAGAGTGAGTGGCGAGTAGGCAGAGGAGTGGCCTGAGGCGAGGAATACGGGAAGCCGAAGCGCTGAAGGACCTGCTGCACCATGTGTGACTGAGTCAGGGTAATGGTGCGGCGTGCTCTGTCCCGGGTGATCTGCAAGCCAAGGTAGCTGCGCAGTTCACCCAGGTTTGCGCACGTGTGTCTCTTCTGCAGCTCGGACTTCACGTGGGCGAGTCCAGCAATGTCAGCTTTGGCAAAGACCAAGTCGTCGACGTACACGAGGATGTAGAGCGGCAGCAAAGAAGTGTCGGTGCGCAAAAGCAGCGACGGGTCCGCAGTAGAGGGAGCAAACCCAAGAGCCGCAAGTGTAGTCCTCAGTGTGTCGTGCCACTCACGCGGTGCCTGGCGGAGACCGTAGACTGGACGCCGGAGGCTCCACTGGGTGCTAGGAGGAAAAGACCCAATGAAGCCAGGTGGGCGGCGCAGCCAGATCTCCTCGTGCAGGCTGCCGTGCAGGAAAGCTCATAGTCACGCTGAGCAGCTATGTGCAGCAGTACCCGAGAAGTGGTCATCTTCCGGGTGGGAGAGAAGGTCACAAAATAGTCAACTCCCTGCCGTTGACTGAAGCTACGAGCCACGTAACGCGCCTTGAAGACAGGCGGAGAACCCGGCGGCCGCTTCACCCTGAAAATCCACATGCCACTGACGATGTTCGCCCCAGGCAGGGGAACCTCGTCAACGTAGGTGCCTGTGGACTTCCACGAAGCCATCTCTGCGTCCATAGGTGCCTGCCAGTGAGAGGAGTAGAGACCCTCTATTGCCTCCGCGTAAGAGCGCGGAGTCGGGATGTCAAGTGCATCCGGGTCTCCCTCAGGGGTAAGTAGTACGGACAGAAGATGAGGTGAAGCAGCGGCTAGGGACTGGAACTCCTCCTGCCTGTCCTCGAGGACGTCCGTGACAAGGGCACACTCACCCCCGACGGACGGAGGACAGACAAACTCAGACTCAGCAACAAGACTGGCGGCGTAGTCTAGGCGACAGCGAGCAGCAAAGTCGACGAGCTCAGCAACTAGGGCAGACGCAGCAGAGGACTCAAAGGAAGGGTCAGTGACGACAGTAGCAAGGAGACGCGTGACAGTAGGACTGGCAGCATGAAGAGAGTCTGACTCCGGGTTGGGAAGGGCAGGAAGAGAAGACTCAGGAGAAGAAGGCAAAGGGGCACGCAGAGGAGCAGTGGATGGACGCAGAGACATCCGGTGCGTGCCAGGGACAGGAGGAGGACGCTGACGCGAACCAGGACCACTAGTGCGAGCAGGACGGACAGGCGACGTAGGGCGAGACGGAGGCTCACGACGCTCAGCAAGACCTCCAGTAGGACCACTGTAGGGAGAAGGAGCAGGCAGTGGGGAGGCCGGCTGTAACTGTAACTGCGCCTGGACAGGCTTTGGACACTCTAAGGGAGGAGGAGGACCAGTAGAAGGCGGGAGACCAAGAACCTGCTGAAGGAGCTGAACGAAGTATGGCCGAGGCCGCGCGGCGACTCCTGACACAGCAGGGACAGCACCATTACCCCCAGTGGCAGCACCAGCGCCAGCAGCACCCCCAGCTCCAGTACCTCCAGCAGCACCAGTAGCACCCCCAGCAGGGCCCCCTCCAGGACCGACAGCAGTAGCCTGCGCGCCAACACCCGCAGCAGCTCCAACTCTAGAAGTACCCGCAGGCCCAGCAGCTCCAGTACTCCCAGTACGAGCATCTCCATGACCCACGGCACCAGCTCTCTCAGCAGCAACAGAACCTCCAGTACCCGCAGCACCTCCAGCTCCAGCAGCTCGCCTCTAGCGCCGGCCAAACCACTCACGCAGCTCCTGTGGAGAGAGTGGCTCCCGGCGAGACGAAGCACCCGGAGAACGGCCAGGCACAGCACAAGCAGACCCTGCTCCCTCAGGCTCCGCACCCCAAGTCTCAGCACCTCCAAGCGTAGCACCCCCAGGCTCAGCACCCCCAGACTCAACACCCCCACGCGTAGCACCCCCAGGCTCAGCACCCCGAGACTCAGCACCCCCAGACTCAGCACCCCCAATCGTAGTACCCTCAGGCTCAGCACCCTCAGGCGTAGCACCCACACGCTCAGCACCCCCAGAGTCAGCACCCCCAAGCTCAGCACCCTCAAAAGCACCAGAGTCACCAGCGACCTCGAGAGGCTCAACAGCGTCTACCTGGGACACACTTGAAGGGGCAGGACCCTGAGGGGGGAGGGGGTCTACCGGGGGGGAACCTGGCACAAGGAAGAGCGGTGGCGGGGGAAGGGACGGAGTGCGGTAGGGGACGAGACTGTAGTAGGGGACCGACTCGTCGAACGTGACGTCCTGGGAGGAGAGAACACGGCGAGAGGTGGGGTGGTAGAACTGCCACCCTGGCGCGTCAGGGGAGAAACCCAGGAAAACGCAAGGAGCAGCACGAGGGGACAGCTTGTCCGCAGACAAGTCGCGGACAAACGCCCGAGATCCCCAGACACGGAACGCAGACGCATCGCCAACCTTCCCCATCCACAGCAAAGCTGGGGAGGTCTCCGGCATGGAGACCCTGGGCTAAAGGTTGATCCGATGCGCCGCGTACCGGACTGCAAACGGCCACAGAAAATGGGGGGCAGCCGCATGCATCATGGACGTACGGGCGACGTCCATGACCATGCCAATGCGGCGCTCAGCAATCCCATTTTGTTGTGGAGAGTCCGGAAGCGTGAAGGTCTGGCGGATGTCCCGTGCACGACAGTAGGCTCGCAGAAGGCTTGAGGAGAACTCCCCGCTTCTGTTAGAGTGCAGACGCAGAACAGGAAAGTCCGACTCGGCAGCTCGGCGGCTCGACAGCTGGGCGGCTGAATGGGTCGCTTGGGGCGACTCGGCGGCTCAACACCTGGGCGGCTCGGCAGCTGGGCGGCTCGGCAGCTGGGCGGCTCGGCGGCTCGGCTGCTGGGCGGCTCGACGGCTTGGCTGCTGGGTGGCTCGGCGGCTCGGCTGCTGGGTGGCTCGGCGGCTCTGGTGCTTGGCTGCTGGGCGGTTCGGCTGCTCGGCGGCTCGGCGGTAGTGCGGCTCGGCTGCTGGGCGGCTCGGCTGCTGGGCGGCTCGGCTGCCTGGCGGCTTGGCAGGGCTGCTGAGAGGGCGGCGTCCGGGGCTGCTGGGAGGAGGCGGCGCCAGAAGGTAGGTGGCGGGGCCGCACAGGTAGGTGGCGGGGCCGCGGGTAGGTGGCGGGGCCGTTAGTAGGTGGCAGGGCCGCGGTAGGTGGCGGGGCCGTCAGTAGGTGGCGGGGCCGTCTGTAGGTGGCGGGGCCGTCAGTAGGTGGCGGGGCCGCAGGTAGGTGACGGGGCCAGTAGGTAGGTGGCGGGGCCGCACAGGTAGGTGGCGGGGCCGCGGGTAGGTGGCGGGGCCGCAGTAGGTGGCGGGGCCGTAGTAGGTGGCGGGGCCGTGAGTAGGTGGCGGGGCCGTGAGTAGGTGGCGGGGCCGCAGTAGGTGACGGGGCCGTCAGTAGGTGGCGGGGCCGCGGGTAGGTGGCGGAGCCGCTGGTAGGTGACGGGGCCGCAGGTAGGTGGCGGGGCCAGTAGGTAGGTGGCGGGGCCAGTAGGTAGGTGGCGGGGCCGCACAGGTAGGTGGCGGGGCTGTCAAGGAAGGCGCCGGTAAGGGCGGCGTCAGGGCCGCAGGGCGGCGTGAGGGCCGCTGGGTGGGCGACGAGGCCGCACGGCGGCAGATCGGGGCCGAGAAAGGGCGGCGCGATGGCCGCGGGGTAGGTGACGAGGCCGCCCGGCGGCGGGTCAGGGCCAGGAAGGGCGGCGCGAGGGCCGTAAGGCCGGCGACAGGGCCACTAGGGCGGCGCGATGGGGCTAGAAAAAAGGGGAGCGTGACTCGGACTAGGGCTGAGCGCGCTCCGAGCAGGAAAAAAAGTCGAATTGGTGGGCCCTAGGAACAGTTCCCACGAGGGAACCTGCTCGATACCATGAGAAAAGTGAAACGAGGATGAATGAACTATGAATGAATTGGGTACAAGTACTAACGCTAATTGGGTTGTACCCCATATGGGCTACCCCACTATAGCCTACACAATATGCATAAGCTACAATGTTCTGACATCCCGCACTCCTCTCCGCCATCCTCCACCTCTCCCTCGACCGCTGCCGCGCTCTCCGCACGCTCCCCTCATCCCTCCCCGCCGCGCTCCCCCTTCTCGAAACCCTCGAGCTCCGCGAATGCGCCTTGCTTTCCGCCGTCCCCGCCTGCCTCCCTGCGCGCCTCCCCCGCCTCCGCGCGCTCACCCTCACCTACCTCTCCTCCCTGCCCACCCCGCTCCCCGCGCTCCTCTCCGTCTTCTCCCCGCCTGCTCCCGGCGCAGCGGAGGAAGCGGAAAACAGTCTTCCCGGGGCAGTTTAGGAAGGGGAGAACGGGGGAGCTTGTAAGGAGGATGCGGGGGAGAGCAGGGCGGGACTGGCCCGGCTGGAGCTACTGGGATGGAAGCAGATGCAGGAGTTACCCGCCGAAGCACTCACCTCTCTCTCCGCCTCCCTCACTCACATCACCATTTCCAACTGCCCCGCCCTCTCCTCCCTCGCGGACGAGCTTTGCCATCTGCCCCACCTCTGCTCCCTCACTCTCTCCTTCCTCCCACTCCTCACCTCCCTCCCTGCCTCCCTCCACCTCCTCTCCCACTCACTGCACCATCTAGACATCTCCTCGTGTGATTCGCTGCAGAGTCTCCCCGCGTCCCTTACCGCCCTCTCCGCCCTGCGCTCCTTGAATGTCTCTGCCTGTGGCGCCCTCGCTTGCCTGCCGTCCGCGCCTGCGGCGCTGCCGTCCGTTCATGCTGCACGGGGGGGGAGCAGGTGCGGGGAATGGCGGCAGCAACAACACCACTACCACTAGCAGCAGCACCACCGCCAGCAGCAGCAGCAGCAGCGGCAGCGAAGGGATCCTTGACACTAGCAGCACCACCTCCACCTCCTAGGCGCCCCTCTCCCTACTCCCATCGCTCACCAGCCTGCGCGTCGCTCTCTATGCGCGCCTCACCGCTCTCCCTCGCACCTGGATGCACCTGCCGTCGCTGCAGGAGCTGATCGTGGACGGTAACGGCCAAATGGAGTCACTCTTTGACGGGGATGACACTGTTCATAATGATACTGTTTATTATGACACTGTTCAGTCTGACACTGTTCCTCCATTCCCCTCTCCTCTCCCCTCTTTGCATTCCCTCACTGTCTCCAACTGTCCTCACGTCTCCCGCCTCCATGCCTTCCTCTCCTGCTCCCCCACTCTCCTCCACTTGAAGCTGCACGGCCTCTCTACTCTCGCCCTCCTCCCGTTTCACACCGCACCCAATGCTGATGTAACGGGTGTGGCTTTAACGGGTACAGATGTGGTAGCTGGCGCTGGTGCTGCTGCTGCTGTAGGATCGGATACACTTGAAGGGTCCGGTGGGATGATAGGATTGGTGACACTTCAAATTGACTCGAAGGACAACACGCACATCACACACCTCCCTCACTCACTCTTCTCCCTCCCCTCCCTCGCCACCCTCACTCTCTCACACCTCTCGCACATCGCCTCCATCCCCCACTCCCTCTCCTTCCTCGCTCCCACCCTCACTCACTTGCACATCAGCCACTGCCCCTTGCTGACTGCCCTCTCCTCCTCCCTCTGCCGCCTCTCCTTCCTGCGATCCCTTGTCATCCAATCATGTGCGTCCCTGACGTTTGTCTTGGGAGACGGACCAGGAGAGGCAGGAGAAGTGGGGGAGGGGGAGGGAGGTGGAGAAGGAGAGCGGGAGAGGGAGTGGGAGGGAAAGGACGGGAAGCGGGAGGAGGAAGGGGAGGGAAAGGGGGAAGTGGGAGAGGGGGAAGTGGGAAAAGGGGAAGTGGGCGAGGTGGGGAATGTGGAGGATATGAAGCGGCATCATGGTATGGCTGCTATGTACTCATTAAAGGTACTCTCAGCCTCGGACTATGAATCACTGACACACCTGCCGTCAAGCATCAGCCTACTACCCCATCTCACCTCCATCTCTCTCAACTCCACAGCCTCGCCACGCTACCACCCTCCCTTCCCTTAGGCCCCTCCCTCACCACCCTCACTCTCTCCTCCTGTGATCGCCTCTCATCCCTCCCCCCAACCTTTGGGCTCTTGTCCAGCCTCTGGACCTTGAAACTTTCTCGCCTGCCCGGTCTCGCTGCCCTACCTGATTCTTTCGGGCAGCTGTCCCACTTGGAGCAATTTACCCTACACGACTGCTGCTTGCTGCGCTGCCTTCCTGACTTGTTCCAACCAATCAGAATCTGCCAAACAATTGTTACAATCTACTCTATCCTAAACACAACCATTGAATGGTTCTAAGTTGGGTTTTCCAACCCAACACAATTGCCACATAGGCTCCAAGCCTAGGAACCATCCCACCATGGAAACCATGGTTGGGATAGTTCCCCAAGGGGTGTATTGAGGGGGTCTGAGCTAAGCAAGCTCATTCTCAACCTCCCACTCCAACTAAACATTTGGAAATGGGATTGTTTCTCCAAGTCATTTTGGGCTCTCCCACAAGCCTTCCTACACAATTCTCTCAAGCTATTTCAACAACTCCTTCAAGAAGATTGGCACCTCAAAGGCTATTGGGAGCTAGCTAGAGCTTCATCTTGTATTGGGATTTATTATAAAAGCCTTGTAGCTCCATTATAATAGCCTTGGGTGTTACATTGGTATCTAGAGCAAGGTTCTTCCTTGGCCTTGTGTGGCCATTTGCTACATGGATTATTTTTTTTTACGATCCTAGCTTGTGGATCTCGAATTTCATCCAAGGAGCAGTGAAGATTTTGAAGAAATTTCAAGATCTACAAGTGTTTCTTCAAGATCTACAAAAGCTTCTTCAAAGATCTACAAACTCCAAGCTACAAGTACTTCAACTCTTCATTAAAGTGCAAGATCTACAAGGAGCTTCTTCTTCTTCATCAACATAAAGAAGAAATTTGAAGAGATTAATTTCTCTTACCCACCTTTGGTGGAAGACTCTTGATCTACCTTGGGTAGAAGAGTGTACCTTCAGATCTAAAAGGACTTGTTGAGGATTACTCTATTGAGTATATCTTGCTCTATCATTGAGGTGATAGAGAGATTTGGCAAACAAGTCTATCTTAAGAGATTCTGTATTGGATTATTCTATAAGAGTGATCAGATTTCTTAAAGATTGTTAAAAGATCTATTGAGATCTCCTCTCCTTAACCTATTTCATGGCTTATGGTCAAGAGATGGATGCTACTAAGGAGGTGCCCATTGTTGGCAATGAAGGAGATAATGTTGCTGCTGCTATTGACATTGATCTCAACCTTGAGGACTTCGTGGTTGACATGGAGATCAATGGAAGTGAAGCTGACCTTGAGGCTGATGTTGACAATGAGGATGAGGCTGGTTCTGCTGAGGGTGTCTCTAATGAGACTGAGGACATCGCTGTTAAGCTTCAGACTCAAATCACGGAGCAGAACATTCTCATTGGAGAGCAGCACTGCCGCATCCTGAACTTGGAGGCTGATTCTGTTAAGCTTTAGGCCTTGATTTAGAAGCGGACAAGGGAGGTGCAGTTGATTCCTAAGGGAAATTACACCTCCAGCTTCATCCACGACCTATTGACCACTCTCCGGTTCGTGCAAGATCAGCTCAAGAAGCAAGAGAAACACATCTCTGTGCTTCAGACTCAGTACAGGGAGATCCGGCGTGGAAACCTCTACCAGCCTGCTCCTGCAGCAGAGCGAGTCGCCAACGCCGCTAACAGCCGTGCTGCACCTGCTGATGCACCTCCTGCTGTTCCTCCTCCTACTGGAGCACGTGCTGAGCCTCCTACTGCAGCAGCAACTGCTTTTGGCTCCTGCCCTTCGGCCCTGCCTCGTTTTGTCCACGGCAAAACTGACGTTGAGACTTGGCTCTCCATTGCGGAGGACTTTATGTCCATCCACAATGTGCGTAGCGAGGCTCGCGTGGTCGCTGCGACCCTTGCCCTGGACGACACTGCGAGCAAGTTGGTGTATGCCAACAAGCACCACGCAGAGGCTAATGGCCATCCTTTTGGCTGGGAGGAGTTCAAAGCTGCCATGCTGGCGGCATTCCTGAGTCAGCCCCCGGCGCTCGAGGTGCGTAGTTGCCTGGAGAACATCCAGTGCGGTGACCAGCCTGTACGCGAGTACGCCAAGGAGTTTGAGAAAACTCTGTCGTTGCTGAAGACTGCTCTTCCTGAGAGCAAGGTCATCCACCAATTCTTCAAGGGACTCCCTGAGCACATCAAGCGTGTGCATGTTGTGCGTGGGGAGCACCAGTGGAGGACCTACAAGGAGTGCAAGGAGCAGGTCATTGACGCGGATGTCAATTTCCGTGCGTACATGACTCACGTTCGTGCTCAGCAGCAGCCTAGTGCCGAAGGCCCTAGGGGGGGTGGTAGCAGGACTCAGGCACACAGGGGCGGTGGCTCTTGGAAGAGGCCCTATCAGCAGAAGGGGGAATCCTCTGGGACTCAGTCCAAGAGGGCCCATGCTGGGCTTGCCAAGGATCCTCAGGATGAGGATAAGCCCTCGGCGGGTTGCCGCATCTGTGGCAAGCTCGGCCACAAGTCCTATCATTGCGGTTGGAGGAAGTCCGTCAAGAACTCCGGCAAGCCCAACCAGGGCAAGAAGCCGGATGGTTCTGGCCCTTCGGGCTCAAAGGATTTTCCGAAGTCCAACTAGGGGGTGGGTACCTAGTTGGTGAGCGAGATCGAGTAGATGAGGCTTATGTCCTTCGTGATGAGGATTTGCTTAAGCTAGAGAAGCTTGCATCATGCAAAATCGCTTGTTTGTATGCCTCTTCTATTAATGAAAAATCTGTTTTCAAAACTCGATCATACCCACTTGAAAACATCTCAATTGAATCCTTGAGAGATAAATTTTCAATCATCTCTTGCTCGTTCAACGAGTTGCCAGGAATCATGGATATTGTGGACCGTTGTGTCCAAGAGCACCCGCTCACGTCAGTGGGATTGGTGACTCGAATCGTGAAAGGAGAGTTATTCCGCCGCTTTCACGAATGGCATATCTTGGCAACATGGGACAAAGGACACCACGTCAGGTGGACCAGCTCCCAAAGGTTTGGACGTGCTCACAACAAATTTAGGGTGTACTATCGACCTCCTAAACTTGTTGTCGCTTGTCCCATCCGTCCAAGTTTCCAACAGAATCTACTGTTATCTGGACGCATGAATGGGGACGAAGCAAGGATTCTCGTCGATACAGGCGCGTCGGTTTCCCTTGTTGATGCAACTTGGGTCACGAAACGCAACGTCCTCGTTGTAGGACCGTCATGTCCCATCCGCTTGGGTGACGATCATGTCATTCCAAGTAAATGACAGACACATGTCGACATGAATGTACAGGACTATAGCGAAACAATTCGCGTGTACGTCCTACCACTTTTGTCAGGTGTCGACCTCATCCTGGGCATAGATTGGTTGCGAGCCAACGAAGTCATTCTGGACTTCCAGTACAACATTGTCTCGTTCAACAAGAACGGAAAGGCAATCCAGTGGCAAGTCAATGATACTTTGCCCACTGAAACACAGACGCCTGAACGTCCCAGCGCGCTGTGTGTGTTGGCCAAACAGTTCGGGCATTGTGTTAAGTCGGCTGATACATTGTTCGTGGTACAGCTGGCGAATGCTGAGACCTTGGAGCCAGCAATTGAGGAATTCCCTCCTCAGATGCAAATTTTGGCAGAGGAATTTAAGGAAGTGTTTGAAACTATCCCTGATGCGCTTCCGCCTGACCGCGCAGTGGGTCACACCATCCCTGTTGAACCAAGAAAGGTTCCACCCTTTCGACCTCTGTATTGCCTCAGTCCAGCTGAGTACGAAGAGGCCAAATAACAGATCGAGGAATACCTCAAAAAAGGATGGATTGAACCCAGTGCATCCCCTTATGGGGCACCAATTTTGTTCGTTAACAAGAAGGGCGGAGGATTACGCATGTGCGTAGATTATCGTGCCTTGAACAAGATTACGGTGAAGAACAAATACCCTCTACCACGAATTGAGGATCTGTTCGATCGGCTCCAAGGAGCCCAGTGGTTTAGTGCACTGGACTTAGCTCAAGGGTATCATTAGCTACGAATCACCGAAGAAGATGTTCCAAAAACGGCTTTCAGAACGCCGTTCGTGCATTTTCAGTGGCGTGTGTTAAGTTTTGGCTTGACAAATGCTCCCGCGTCATTTCAGCGAGCAATGAATGATGTGTTTCAAGAGGCAATTGGCCAATTCGTCTTGGTATACTTGGATGATATCCTTGTTTACTCTATGAAAGAAGAGGAACACACGCAACACCTGAAATGGGTGTTAGGAAAACTGCGAGAGCACAAATTCTTTGCTCGGTTGTGGAAGTGTCACTTCTACAAACGCGAGTTAGAATACCTTGGTCACTTGGTAGGCAACGATGGCCTCAAAGTTGATCCAAAGAAAGTGGCGGCAGTCCAACAGTGGCCCGTTCCACAGGACGTGGGACAGGTCAGATCATTTCTTGGACTTGCGAACTACTTTCGCCGTTTCTTGGAAAATTATTCCTCCGTAGTCGCTCCACTGACTGCCCTCACTCGTAAGGGTAATGCTTGGCAGTGGACCGATCAATGCCAGAAGGCATTTGAGGAAGTGAAAACCATGCTGACCAATGCTCCATTGCTGGCTTTGCCAGACCCGTCCAAGCCCTACGAGGTGGTAACTGATGCCTCGATGGTAGGGATTGGAGCAGTTCTTTTGCAAGAAGGACGCCCCGTGGCATTTGAGAGTAGAAAGCTTTCACCGGCTGAGCAGCGCTATACAACTTCCGAACAGGAATTGTTGGTAGTTGTGCATGCGCTACGAACATGGAGATGTTATCTCGAAGGTGTTGACTTCGTGGTCACGACCGACCACTGTCCAAACACCTACTTTGCCACTCAAGCCACACTCACCCGCCGTCAAGCTCGATGGGCTGAACTCCTTAGTGGGTTCACCTATGATATTCGATATCGAGCGGGTTCGACGAACATGGCTGATCCGTTGAGCAGACAGCCGATTGGCGCAGCAAGGGGGGTTGATGATAATGAACATGCAGCAGTGTTTGCTGCTTGTTTCAGCATCCTCGCAACTGCTCGAGTGAGCCAGATTGCCTTTGGTGGTTTTCTGAAACGCATTCGCGCAGGGTATGATATTGACCCTTGGTTTTGGAACCCACAGAATACAAAGGATCTCTTGTGGGAGCATGAGCTCTGGTGGCACAAGAAAGAAATTGTTGTCCCACATGCGGGAAACCTACGGAATGATATTCTCGCAGAGGTGCACGCCACTAAGTATGGAGGACACCTGGGTGTCAAGAAAACCCGGTGGGCCCTCAGTGATGTATATTGGTGGCCTGGAGTGGGCATTGAGGTCCAGCAGTTTGTAACTCGCTGTAACACGTGCGCGCGGCACAAGCCAAGCACACAGAAGCCTGGTGGTTTGCTTCAACCACTTGAGATTCCCGATGAACCTTGGGAGAGTGTATCGATGGATTTTATCACCGATCTCCCCAAGACGCGAGATGGTCATACGGCGATACTAGTGTTTGTCGATCGCTTGACCAAAATGGTGCACTTCGTGCCCACGACGACTGACGTGTCTGCAGAGGATACGGCAAAGTTGTTTGTGACACACGTTTTCCGCTTACACGGTTTGCCTCGTGTGATGGTGTCTGACCGAGACCCGCGCTTCACAAGCCGATTCTGGCAAGAGGTCATTAAAACAGTCGGAACGAAACTCAAGATATCGTCTGCGTGTGAAGATAGTGAGAAGTATAGTTAAGATCAGGAGCCATAGCTAGGAGAGTCCTAGCTAGGCAAGAGACAGTTTAAGCAAAGAAGGAGCAGTTCACTAGAAAGCAGCAGCATACATATAGGAAACCCTAAGGGGTTGTACTCGCTATAGAGTACCCCACTGCAGGCTAGAGAACAATAACATTCTGACACACCCCCATAGCCAAAGTGGGGTGTAATCAGCAGAGCACACAGTCATAGAGCAGGTGCACAATTGCAAGCAAAGCTAGAGGCTATCACAAAGGGCAAGTGAGAAGGAGGAGGCGAGACTGTAAGAGGAGAGGAGATAGGAGGCGACGGCTGAAGCTGCAGACACACGGGCAACAGGAGTCACACTAGCACAGCGGCTACCGGAACAACGCTCCAGACTACTGGAGTAACTGGCTCCGCGGCTAAAACTAGCGGCAGACGAGCAACGGACCCACGAGCGACTGGCACAGCTGGCTGCGACTGGGCTACCGGAGCAGCGCCCCGGACTACTGGTGCTGCTGGCGACACGACGGCAGTCTCCTCTCAGCCTTCCCAAACAGTCCCACCTCCCCTGACACACACCCCCTGCTTCACCCCTAGCTCCACTCCCCCTTCACCCTCCTAGTACCACTCCTTCGGCTCCCACACACCCACCCCCTTGAGCGGTAGCTGTAGCAGCGGGAGACGGAGGAGGAGGAGGAGGAGCAGGGGACGGCGCTCATAGAAACTGCACCCCCATACCCCTCACCCCCAAACCCTAATTCAGGAGAACGGGCAGCACCAGGGGTGGGGCGCCGTCAGAAGCACGGGGGACAGCGGGCAGCGCAAGGGAAGAGGAAACAGGGCGCCCCGGGGCCTGGCGCAGCCCGTACGGGCCGCGCGCAGGCCTGGCGCAGCCTGTACGGGCCGCGCGCGGTCCTGGCGCAGCCCGTACGGGCCGCGCGCAGGCTATACGGGCCGCGCGCGGGCCCTATGCAGGTCGCGCGGGCCAGGACGGGCGACGTGGGGCGACGCGCGGGTCCCCGTCGCCCGTCGCAGCGCCTCCCGGGGGCGACGCGCGGATTGACGGGGCAGAAAGCCGTCGCGCGCCTCGGGGCGCACGGCGGGCTGAAAACCCTAATTTCGACGCCGCGCACCACGGGGCGCGCGGCGGACAGAGCGGAAGCGGAAGCAGGTGGTGAGCCCATACACAGGGCGGCGGCAGACATGCCGCCCTCTGATACCATGTGAAGATAGTGAGTAGTATAGTTAAGATCAGGAGCCATAGCTAGGAGAGACCTAGCTAAGCTAGGAGAGTCCTAGCTAGGCAAGAGACAGTTTAAGCAAAGGAGTAGTTTACTAGAAAGCAGGAGGATACATATAGAGTACCCCACTGCAGGCTAGAGAACAATAACACTCTGACACTGCGTTTTATCCACAAACGGATGGACAGACAGAGCGGACCAACCGCACTCTTGAGCAAATGCATCGTTCTTTCATAAGCCCAACTCAGGACGATTGGGATGAATTGTTGCCAGTCGTGAAACTTGCTGTGAACAATTCTGTGCATGAAAGCACCCATGAGAAACCCTTTGTCCTGGACTGTGGTCGGCACCCCACAACCCCTGCGGCGCATGGGATTAAGAACCTCAAAATCCCTGCCACAAAGGACTTTATTGGAAAACAGCAAGCGGCTTTGAAGTCCGCTCGCCACTAGCTGCTGCTTGCACAACAGAGGCAAAAGTCCTATGCCGACATGAAACGCCGGGAAGTCGTCTTTGCAGTTGGCGACAAAGTATTACTGAGTACGAAGAACATTCGTCTTAAGATTCCGGAAGCAAGAAAGCTCTTCCCTCGTTGGATTGGGCCCTTCGAGGTGATAGTGCGAGTTGGTGAGGTCGCATATAGGCTTAAGTTGCATGCA